TTTACTTCCTACATTATGTTTGAATTGTTAATTGCTCACAGACTTGTCCCAGTATTTGTTATACAAATATTATATCCTCTTATTGCATTGATCTCAATTATTGAGTGTTGTAGATCCTCAGGTAGAAGGTACAAGTATAGTAAGGTATTCAGGGATAGATTATGGCTCTGACTTCCTCTGGAAGAGAAGGTGAATGAATGGAAAATATATGGAGCTTATGCATAGCACTTGTAGAATTCCTTTGGCAGGAGATGTGCTACACCCCACTTGGGTTCCACTATTCTTAGAGATTCCTTTGTTGGTAATGATCCACCAACATTGAGGGCCTGCGGACTTCACTTCTTGTCCGCTGGTCTGGTGTTAGGAGCCTCCCAATATTCACCGCAGGACTGGTCCCAGAGGAGTGATGTGATCAGTGGTAACTTACTGGACCTCATGTTTGTCAGCCTGTGTGGACAAGCTCACCTGATGTTGTAGACTGGATGCTGCCTTGAGGCCTATTTGCATGAATGCCTATCTCGATTCCATACCTCTGCTTCAGATACCTGTTTTGTTTCATGATTCTTTGATCACTTACAGTGTTATGTATCTGTACAGGCTGGTAGTTGAGCTGCATATTGTTTTCAAAGGTGGAGTGGTGTTTCATGCCTCTTGCAGGAACAATTGTATTTTCACTAATCTTATAAATCCTTTGGGATTACTATTCAATTACCTTAACTTATGTTGCCTGTTTAATTCATAGAACAATGATGGTAGATTAAGTTTGGGTCTCTGTTTGCTATTAAGCTTTAGAAGGCTCTTAGCCATTGCTGCCAATTTTTGGGAATATGCCAACCTTATTGTACCCCAACTCTTCTTGCTAGTGCTACTGCTTCTGCTGTGAACCTTATGCAAACCATATATACAGCACAACATGTTAATTCTTTAGCTTGATAAATTGGGATGCAGGTGGAGTAGACAGTTTGTCTTGGGGAGACAAACTGGATTTTGTGTGCCAGAGTAGTTAATGTTAGCAATTCTCTTTGTCTGTAGAGATGTCATTCTTTAAGAGAAAAAGACAATAGGAAAAGTACAAAAGGAGATCTCATTTTCTTTTAAACTAGTATTATGCATGTAGGAGGTAAATAGGAGAATGGTAGTGCTGCAGTTCTCTGATCAGGACAATATCTTATGAGTTGTGCTGGGCATAGAGTGAGATTCAGAATGGAAGCATTAAGAGTACGTTGATGAATTATTTCAGTAAATATTTCCTAGAAAAAAAATAGAAAAATCTGAAATACAGAAAAACATTATTTTCCATTGTAAAATGTCAGTACTATATTCATAGTTAGTACATTGCAGCGAAAAGTTTATATTCTGCATAAAACAATGCTTTGATGTTTGAAAATCTTGTAACAGTTAAAATGTGATAAAATACCTTTACAGTAAGGAATTTATGGATCTCATTTATGTCTTTGTCTATTTTTTTGTTATGCATTTTAGATATCCAAGAAATGGAGAATGTGATTAGCACCTATCAGGAAAGTCACAATAAATATATCTCTGACATAGCAGTCATGAATAGTAACCGAGGGGAGGAAAAAGTGAGACTTATTAGAAGTTTTCATTTGAGCTCAAAACAGAAGTCAGAACTGATTAAGCATAATGGTAACTCCTTAGGAATGAGGACAGAAAAGGTCACTGGGTGTCAGAATATGGGTGTTTTCAGTGAGCCTGGTAAGATGTGTGCTGTGTATACTCCTCGCGAATCTTCTGTAGTTGAAGAATATAAACAATGTAAAAAGTCTTTCACTGAGAAGACACACCCTATTGTTCCTCAGAGAACACACACAGGAGAGAAACCATATGAAAGTAAAAGGTGTGGAAAGATTTTCACCAGTAAGGCATATCTTACTGTCCACCAGAGAAGACACACCAATGAGAAACCTTTTGAATGTAACATTTGTGGAAAGTCTTTCACCTGGAAGTCAAACCTCACTGTCCACCAGAGAACACACTCAGGAACAAAACCTTATGAATGTAACGTGTGTGGAAAGTCTTTCACCAAGAAGGCATGCCTTACTATCCACCAGAGAACACACACAATAGAGAAACCTTTTGAATGTAACATTTGTAGAAAGTCTTTCACCTGCAAGGCATATCGCACTGACCACCAGAGAACACACACAGGAAAGAAACCTTATGAATGTAATACGTGTGGAAAGTCTTTCACCAAGAAGTCAAACCTTACTGTCCACCAGAGAACCCACACAGGAACTAAACCTTATAAATGTAACATGTGTGGAAAATCTTTCACCCAGAAGTCAACTCTCACTGTCCATCAGAGAACACACACAGGAACGAAACCTTATGAATGTAACCTGTGTAGAAAGTCTTTCACCAAGAAGGCATGCCTTACTATCCACCAGAGAACACACACAAAAGAGAAACCTTTTGAATGTAACATTTGTAGAAAGTCTTTCACCTGCAAGGAATATCTCACTAACCACCAGAGAACACACACAGGAAAGAAACCTTATGAATGTAATATGTGTGGAAAGTCTTTCACCAAGAAGTCAAACCTTACTGTCCACCAGAGAAC